CCCCCCCCCTCCCTCCCCTCGCCCCAGTGCGCATCGCGAATGATTTTTTTCATGCAGATTTTGATCTCACTAGCGGCATGCAGTAGCTCCTGGATGTATCACTGGATTTTGATTCAGGTGATCGAAGAGGGTCGTACACCGGAATCTTTCGTACGGCGGATACATGAACTTTACGCTCCACCGGCTCCTCCCGGGGCATTTCCAGTGAATCCAGCATTGGCAGTATCATCGCCACGTAGTATTTCATCGCCTGATGTCTTCAACATTCGCACCAAACATCCAGTTTCGAAGCAACTAAGCGCTTCATCCGGTGATTCGTTCGCGTACTCTCAACGTGCTGCAGCTGCTATGGAGCGGTTTCTGACCAGGAAATGTTGCGAAAACGTTGCACCGCGCCCGGTGGCCGCAATTAATGACTCACCGAGCGGCTGCGCTGTTTGTGATAAAGCAACGAATACCTGTGAGGCAGTGAGTTAGTTCGATCATTATTCTTATTTTAGGCTTATTAACGAAGTGGAAAATATTACCAAACAGTAGACACTGTATAATAATTCTGCCAGGCATTTTGTGGAACTGTAAAAAACCGCTAAAGAGAAGGAATGCCTGAGATGTTGCCGAAAGCCAAGACAAACAAACTACTTGTTGATAATTGTTGAAAGAATTTAAGACGGAGAGGGACTTTGCTTGCGGTCAGCGTAAACTGAAAAACAGAGTCGTCGAAAATACCTGTTGAAATGAGTGCGTTTGTTGGCATAAAAGACAAAGAGAGGTCGGTGGAAACGAAATGAAGCGACAAATAAGGAAATATGACCGAAGAAATTGACTAAAATTATAAATGCCTCGTCGAGAAATATTTTTAGTGCTCAGAAAAAGTCCAGTGCTCCTGATCGTGGTGGTTGGCTTTTAATACTTTTGTAACTACACGAGAAGAAATGCTCGAAACACGCAACAACTAAAAACTGAAAGAAAATTTTGAGAACTACAACTGTCAGCAAATAGCAGCAATAATTTAAAAGAAACGGAATTTGAAAAACTGCATCAATTTTAAGAACTCTCATATCTTCTCACAGTGGCGGCGCTTAAGAATGATAATGGGCTCCTTATTTCGCTGTTTGATTTTTATGCGTTTTTGCTGTGCAGCGCTATAGCGCTGCTACAGCAGGCAGAGCGACTGAACTTTGTGTATGGTATGTATGTGTGTGTGTGTTCGGAAGCGAGTTTTAGGATCATATTCCCACCGTGTGTGTCACCTCCCGCCCATGCACGCCTAAATCTCGCGTACTGACCCCCAAAAAATAAGCAGATTTCTTTGACTGGTAACGATTTCGCGAGTCAGACAAGAGAGAAAGCTAAAACCTTGCAGGAATATTCTCAATGCACGTGAGAGCTAAAGATTTTAAATTCAGCTATCGCGCATGCTTATACCGCGTGTACGGCCACGTCAGATTTCGCACTTGGCACTGTGCGAACTCGAAAACTAGCCGGGAAAAAGTAGCAGAGATTTTGTCAGAATATTTGTCATTCATATGGGAAACCGTATACCTAAACTGAGGCTCGATTTGCATTGGCACCATGACTTAGAATACTTTAAAGATATTTGTAGTAAAGTAGCTATTTCACTTACCAGCAAGCTGCGAAGCTGAAATTTTGCAAGGGTATTCTATATTCATGTTTGGTATTAACTCACCTTGGAGGTGAAATTCCGCGCACGCAGGCATAACAAATACTCAGTTTTATCACAAACTCAAAAGCGAGTGCATTTTGCAGATTTCTTAACCCTCTTCGAATTTCTTTCAAATTTGCATTTTTCCAGTGGACGATCATTCATCGAAAAACGACCGGGCTTCATGCAACAAATGATTATCATGTACGCCGGAGGTCCACGCGGCTTTGCAATGCAACACCTTCATCCCAGTCGATGCCGTTTTCCCCTTCATGCAGGAAGAGGCCAAAACACAGCCCATATGAGTCTAATTATTAAAGTACAGTGCAGGAACCATTCCTGCTGTTAGCGATCTGCGAGTTTAGCGCAAAAACGCATGATCGCATCGGCAAGTCTGGTGCAGTGCAGCCTGGGTTTAATGGTTGGCGTCATTACTACATCCTCACCGTTTAGCTTCTCCCTCCTGACTCATTTTTCTGGCAAGATTTTTTCGCGCAGACAGTTTTCGCGTTTAAGACACAAGAGACTGCTGTCTTTCGACAGGAATTCAGCTGCACTGTTGCACCACATGAATCAACCGGCTGTTCTAAAGCACATTAATATACATAATCATATAGGTGGAAAAGAATTTGGAGGCACATAAGTATTTAAGTGTTTGTACCTTTCGTGTAGTATTCTCTTTTTTCGTTCAGTGTTGGTATTTAAAAATAGGAAATTTTTGTCCTTTTGCATCGGAAATTGCCACTCCGCCGCTGGCTTCTCACTCTTTGCTCTCACTTTCCCTCCCTGCCGTTGCTGACCACGCTCTTCTGGCAGGTGTCGGATGATTTTGTCATTTTTCAAACATTCCAACAGGAAATGTTTGTATTTGCCAGTCAAGCATTCAGCGATGCCTCCGTTCCGACAACTCCCGCCCATCTCCAATTCCCGTTTTGAGGTCAAAATTCTATTGAATTGAAAGAGCCAATTTTTGATTCGTACGTAAATTTCAATGCAAAACTTGCTTAGTCAATGTCCTTTTGTTCTGCCTCCTTCAACACCGACAACTGGCCACTCTATTTTGTTAATTATTGAAATAACCAGTACGCGTGAAGAAACAAAGACCGTTCGGGTGAACACCACTGAGGTTGCCAACATATATCAGGAAAGCAGTGGGTAAATACTGGCTAGAGGCATGCAATTCAGGATCAGAGAGCTTGGCATAGCCTTGTTTAGTGTGAGAGAGCGTTCCAGTAACATCCACTAACATGATAATTCCCATGCCGATTTTCGAATTGGTCCTGATATTTTTGGTGCTTGTATCCATTAAAATTTAAAAATAACCGACTGATGTTATTTGATTCCGTAAAAATATGTGCTTGAATTTTACACCCAGATATATCATTTGTCAGCATTTGCAGTATTGCTGACAAATTTTAATTATTTTCAGTTCATTAAGTTAACTAAAAAGTAAAAAATCTTGCCATATTCACTCGCAACGAGAGGCTTAGGCATTTGGGAAGTAGCCCGGGTAGTGGCAAATGGCGGAATCAACGACGCATTGGCAAAGCTGTCGATGATGCCCTTTCAAGGTTTGCTTAAAGCTGATGGCCTCTTTGACTTCCTGGCATATGTTAGTACCAATTTTGTCATCGAAACAAATGAATAAATCATCGAGGGTTTGTTTGTCCCAGCAGTGGAATCGAAGTTTTGGTCTACTGCACGACAGCTGTGCTATTCCACTGTGCCACACCTGCTGTCACAGTCCACTTAGGGTCTGCTTTTACGCATGAGAAATTGTGATTTTTTGCATGTTCCATAGTAAGTAAGGTAAGTACTTTAACTGGAAGAATTTCGCGCCAGTATGTTTTTATTTGTTAGGCATTTTAAATTTTCTGTTTTTCTGGACAAAACTGCACTCGGGTTTTTATCGACTTTGGATTGGGGCGGTCAAGCTAAAAAATTTTAATTCCGAAAAGCTATCTGATAAAAAGTGCTTTTAAAAAAGAAGCAAGTGCTGAAATCAAGTCTTGACCACTGCTAGATCTGACACTCTGATTCTTGGAATAGTTTCTATTTTATCCTCGCATCACTTCTTACCACTGGTGCAACTGGCTTGATTTTCTGGAAATAATAACTGTTGAGTGTTCAGCGAAAACAAAATCAAATAACTGCTTCCGCTTGGGATTCTTGTAGCACATACGCTATTTTCGGTGGGTTCCTTTATGCTAGTATTCTGATAGAAAACTGGCAAGAACAGCGTGTGAAATTCGTAGATAATCAAATTTTCTGATAAGGATATGGTAGGCAGCAAGATTTTTTGTGCAAAATCTTAACAATACACCTGTTTTTTGCTACGCAGTGAATCCCGGAACATATCGTTTGCTTTCGTGCGCAGACGGAATGGTTGCGGGCGGAAGAGGATTAAGGGGGAGCTGCATTGGAGAAACACCTCCGCATGTAGGGACTCGCAGCAGGAAAATTTGAAGCGGAAATTAACAAATGCTATCATAACCAGTTTTGAATATGATTGGAAGTTGTGCACATTTATATGCCTTCAGCCTGTGCTCCTTTGACTCAAAAGTGGGATTCACTGCTGCATGTGAATTTGTTTCAGTCGAATGTCTTCAAAAGAAAGTTTGACTTAAATCACTTGGGCTAGCTTTTCTCTTTAGGAATTTGGAAAAAGGAGCTTTTTGTGAAATGTGTGTGCTTTCCGAACACTAATAGACAGTGCAAGCGTGAAACGGTAAGCAGCACCGCTCCGTAACTCCTTAGCCTCTGGAAAAGCTGATTTTTAATATTATTGTTGTTGTATTAATGATTCGAGTTAACTGCACATTAATATTTGTGCTCACAAATTTTCCAGGATTTCATCCAAAACGAGAAAGTATCGCCGGACAGGAAATCAGTTGCGGTAGCTACGGCTAGTTTGAACGAATTAATGGCACCGGCTTCATCTTCGCGTTATGTTATGTTGAATGGAGTATTGCAACAACATGCAATTAATGTTCATGGGAAATGTGAGGATTTGCTCGGCGCTGCATACCCGAATAATCGAGTACCAGTTCCGAGTAACGATCATACGGTAAACAGCACTGCTATTTTTTGGAAATAAAATTTTCACCGTACAAATTCTGAAACTGTTCCTTCTCAGTTCCACTTCTCAACGCAAGCGTTTTACAGCTCAAAAAGCTGGTGGAGAAGCTAACAACGAATGATCTACTGGACGAGGAATTCACACTCATTCCAAATAGACGCATGTCTGCTGGCGTATCGACTAGCCAGAAACCTGATAATATGGTTAATCTTTTACTCAAGTGAGATAAGAAGTGTAATTTGTTGCCTGGGACAGAATGAAAATCCAAAGTTGGAGGTGAATTTCGGTGATTTTAGCAGCGGGGAATTTCCTCGCAAAATCGAAGTTTTATCAGCTTACTGCATTCTGGTGCCACAACAGTTATGCTGGTTACCAAAAAAATAATTTTCCTCACAGAACCCTTTTATGATTTGCCAGCTCCAGATTTACTGAACTTACCTTTTTCACAGGCGGGCAGCTCTAGAAATTTTAACTCGCTAGACTTTTGACCAGAACGTTCATCCTCGCATAAATATCTCATTCTGCTAGCGGCAGCGCGGTCGCTTTATTTTGTTTCCGAGGTTTACTTCAGCACCAAACCTGAACAGTCAGTCGGTATACCGTACTAAATCAGTTAACTTCAGCTGCAATTCGCAAAAATTCTGCCCATCTTGTAGCAAGTCCCACTTCAACATGTCGCTTATTATTTAGAAGCAAAAAATGCGATAATAAATTTACAAAAAACTCATTTTTCATTGCTGCAGAAACGAAATCGTTCACGTTCACTTGTACCATACGAAGATACACGAATCATGCTTCATTCGAACCAATCGAATCCGACCGGCTATATAAATGCTTCAAATGTCCAGGCACTCAATTTAATCTAAATTATTCATTGTAACTCAGCAGTGTCAGTAAAATTAGAGTTACATTTTCACTATTATCTCACATACGTGAATTGGGAAGAGAAGCTGCTTGGCTAGCCAAGCCATTAACGAACATAAACAGTAATTCAGTCCACTTTTAGATTATTGGAAATTTTCGGACTCCAAGGCTAAAAGAATGGCTTAAGCTTTTGCAGATTCCTGTTGGCGACCAAATTTTACGGTATATTTTGGCACAAGCGCCACTGCCTGATACGATTCAGGATTTTTGGCAAATGATTTGGGAATCTGGAGCGCAGTTGATCGTTATGTTATGTGATGCACAGGTGAGGGGATGTAACGATTTCATAATTATAATAAGTCATCTGATAGGGGCATATAATGTGTGGCACAAATTTTTAGAATGTGTACTGACTAAAAACTTCCAACCACCATTTAATTATGTAGATTTTGCTTGAAATTAATCATTGCGAAATTTGACTGCGTCTACTAGCATACAGACGTTGCCTGCAGAGTTAGCGCATAAAAATTTAACTCAATTTTCATTCGACCGACTTGGCTTTCCTTCGTAGAATTGCTACATATAACTTTAGACCGATTTTTATGATGATCCGCTTTAGCAGCTATGCCCTAAAAACCTTTCCATTCAGCTACTACTGTTTTGAAATTTTGGAAAACATGAAAATGTTTATAAAAATTATGATACGACTCAGCTGATCTGTTTTTATACGATTTTTCATGAATGCAAGTGAAAATATTTTGCAGCCCACTGATATACTTTTGTATAGCGGCACACATGATGCAGCTTCTGGGCTGAGAACTAGAAAACACGAATTTTGAAATACTTAACTGCACCGTTCAAGAACCTAAGATCGACTCAAAACCATGAACTTAAGCTCAAATTTAGGCTAACTTCACAATTAGAGAATTAGAAAAGCTATGAATTACAATCTTTGTTACAGTAAGTCTGAAACGGTAAATATGAGGGCCAAATCAACCAGTTGATAATAAATGCAGGTGCAGACACCTACTTAATATTAAGCGCGAAGTTACTTATCACTTTCAAGCGGAATTGTAAACGCTGTTCAGTGAAGGTGTTTAAACGAATCATAAACGCCATACACGCGTAAATAGCATTTCTGAGAGAGGAAGGTTTGTCTGGAGGCAAAAGTTAAGCGCTAAATTGAGTGGAAAAATGAAAATGGAGACCGCTTAATGCACGGATTCTAATTTTAGTCAAGGCTTCACTGCTGTTTCTTTTTTCTTCCAGTTCTTGATACCGGTCCTCATAAAAAAGTGCGCACTTTTCAGCGAGTTTCACTGTAATCAGCACTTTTAGTGGTAATGCTTTTATTGAGGACTTCAACCATACTGATTTCAGGATTCAAAAAATAGCACAACACCAATTTATTGGCCCCAGAAAGTGATGGGTAAATTACGCCTTAGCGATTATTCGATAACGCAGCTTTCGAGTTCGACAAGTAAGCAGCAGATTACAACAACATTGCAACTCAAACGTTCTGCTGGTGGCGAGCGACGTACTGTTTATCATCTCAGGTTATTAGACTGGAAACCCGGTAGCATACCGGCAAGTGAAGATTCCTTTCTAGGTTGGTACCTTTAATAATCTTGCTACATTAGCCATCTTTTTTTAATTTGAATTGATGAGAAATGTCAAATTTGTCAGGCGCTGCTTGCTTTGCCTCAAACTTCATCAAACTGTCTTCAAAATTTAAAGCGCAATTAGTACACCCCGGGAATAAATGCTCTTGTAGCTTTTTTTCCAAGGTTAAAAATCAAAAGCCTCCCCCTTATCTGCTCTCCATGTCGTATTAAAAAATCATTCCCTGAAGTTTTGGTCAAAATAGGTAAATTTACATTCTGATTTACTACGGATTTCCACGCGGACGGATACGAATTGCAGTTAGGCAGTTCAAGATCGAAGGACCTGTCAAAGCTGTGTCTGGCGTGCGACTGCATCATAGTAGCATCACTAACATAGGATGTTTACACTGATAGCCTTGACGGTCTTGGTATCCTTGGTATATTACTGACGAATAATAATAATAATAATAATAATAATAATAATAATAATAATAATAATAATAATAATAATAATA